CAATATTACATGTATAGTAGACTCCCCCTTTTGTCTAATACTCCCCCTGATACGTACATTAATCAAGGAAGTTTCTCAAATGTGGCTTTAGGCAGTGATTTGGTAAACAAATCAGCCACATTCTTCTTAGACCTTACTTGATTCACTTGAATCTTGAGGAGAGTTTGTTGTTGCTGATTATAGAAAAACTTTGGCGAAATATGTTTTGTAGTCACCCTTGATATATCCTACTTTCATTTGTTCGATACAAGCTGCATTATCTTCATATATGCATGTAGGATTTTGAGTGGTTGAACTTAAACCACTAGCCCCTCTTATATGTGTAATGACAGGCCTTAGCCATATACACTCCTGAACCACCTCATGTAGAGCAATAATCTTTGAATGGTTCGAGGAGGTAGCTACAAGGGTTTGCTTGGTAGATTTCCAAGAAATCACTATGTTCCTAATTGTAAAAAAATATCCTGTTTGGGAACGACCTTTGTGTAAGTCAGAAAGATAACCAACATCAGCAAAACCTACTAATATATCATTTAGGGTTTCACTGTATGGGATAACACATTCTTTGTTAATACTTTTAACAAGTATTGTAACCCTATTTTTTTCTTTGTAGGGAAAGAATAAGCCCACGTCGATGGTTCCTTTTAGGTATCAAAATATATTCTTGATACCATTCTAATAATGTTGCGTTGGCGTCGAGCTAAATATAGATAACAAGTTCATTGAGAACACAATATTTGGTCGAGTACATTGTGCTAAGTACAATAATGCGCCTATTTCACTTAGATAGAGAATTTCAGCTCCCAACATCTCTTCGTCATCATCCTTTAACGAAATGGATCTTTCCTTATACCCAAGCTTCGACCGATCATGGGAGTGCTAGCCGGATGCGTTTTATCCATATTAAATTTCCTAAGCATTTTTTGGATATAAGCAGATTGGTGGATAAGGATTCCACAAGCTCGGTGTTCTAGCTCTATACCCAGACAAAACTGAGTATTCCCAAGATCTTTTATCTCAAATTCAGATTTTAAATAGCTTGCAGTGTCTCTTATTCAATTAAGAGTACATATTATGTTTATATCATCAACATATACAGCTACGATTGAAAATCCAGAACTTGTCTTCTTTATAAAAATGCAAAGGCATAATTAGTCATTCTTATATCCTTTCTCAATCAAGTATTCACCCAGACGAGTATACCACATTCGTTCGGATTGTTTTAATCCGTAGAGTGAATGCTTCAGTTTGTTTGCAAACACATTCCATGGTTTAGTGTTAGTTGAATTGGGTAGTGGAAGACCATTAAGCACTTTCATGTATATCTTTAAATCTAGATCCTCATAGAGATATGCAATGACCACATCCATAAGCTGCATTTCCAATCCTTCGAAAACTACTAGGCTAATTACATAACACAACGTTATTATGTCCATTACTAGGGAGTATGTCTCCTCATAATCAATTCCAAGGCATTGTGAGAAGTCTTGCGCCACAAGGGGAGCTTTATATCTTATGACTTCATTATTCTCATTACGCTTTCTGACAAAGACCCATTTATGTCTTACAGGATTTACACTTGGTGGGGTTAGCACTCTCGGACCAAACACCTGTCTCTTTGCCAAAGAATCTAGTTCTACCTAGATTGCATCCTTCCACTTAGTCCAGTCTTCTCTTTATTGGCATTCTTCATGTGCTTCTCACATGAAGGAAAATTGGTTCTTTTACCTCTATTAAAAATATATATTATATATTAAAAAATATATTATAATTATATAAAATAATATTATAATTACTTAAATTGGAAAAAAGATCATCCATCAACATACAACGTGCTGTGATTATTTCCTCGTCTTTAGCAAGATCAACAAATGTTGGCGTGCTTTAACTTTTTCTGCTTGATGAAACTCATATTCCTGCAAAACACCCCCCCCCCCTTTATGTTTCCCCTCCCACTCTCTAATTAGTGAATATTGCTCACATCCTCGTTAAGAGATGTAGTAGCAATGTGGACCAACACGACGAACCTTCAGTGAACCATCACCGATGGGTTCAAGATGTAGAAGTAGATGAAGTATTTGGTAGGTTTCTTCAAGTGAAGCAACACGTTGGACCTCCGATAAACCAACACCATGAAACCTACATTTCTTGAAGCATCTGGTGGGTTTCATCTAGAGAAAATCCTAGATCTCGAAGCAACATGACAAATGATTTCTCTCTACATCTAGTAGGTCGAGAAAACCCTATATTTTTGGTATTTGATTTTAGTGTTCTTTTGGTTCACTATAACGTGAATCTTCTTTTTATTAAATACGTCGAACTCGAAGATCTAACCCTTGGAAACAATGATTTATGTAATCTTCTCTTGATTCACTTTTGTATTCTAGATTTAGATTTATGTTCCTGTGTATGAATCTGATTTAGGTTTGAATATTTGATTAAAGTTTTAATGTTTTTGTATGAATCTGATTTAGGTTTCGGGTTTGAATCTCATTTAAGCTTTGGTTTTGAATGTTGGTGGGTGATGGGTGGTGGTGTTGGATGTTCTTGATGAAGGCTAAAAAGACCAAATTGCACCTCACAAATGACTGACTTATGTGATACATCATTAACAGTGTTAACTCGATGGATCAATTTACTATGTGAAACATGAAATAAAGACCACTAGTGTACTTATTGATATTTAGTGACCAAAACATAAAAATAGTCAAAACATAGGGACCATTTGTGTAATTCACTCTTATTAACATATTAAATATTCCAATAAACTTTCAAACAAATTTTACATAAAATAATAATATGTTAAACTTAATTGGTAAAAACAATAAAAAATATTTTCTCTCTCTTCACAATAAATTTGGGATCATTCTTCAAATTTGGAAATTTTTATACTTTTTTCACACTTTAAATATTTTATTTGCAAAACCCGTTAGAACAAAAAGCACATAGAAATTTACAAAATCTTCATTTTGTTAATTTTAAAAATTTGTTAGAGATGCTCCTATTGTTTACACACAAAGAAAAATTAAAAAAATTTCAATATATTATTGATTTATATCTAATATTTTAATTATTATAATTTCAAAAATTAAGAAATTTAAATAAAAATATTTTATATAAAAATACAAAAGTTTTATAATACAACATAGATATGGAAATTGGAAGACTATTGGCAAAGTCTATAGCATCTTTAACGGTTTTTCTTCAATTATTTTTAAAATATAAAATAAAAAGTTAAAATCTATAAAAAAAATTACATTCAACTTTTACATATTTTGAAAATTTAACATAAATTATATTATTATAATATTCTTTAAATTATCTTTCCAGTACATTTAATTTTTTTATATATATAAKAATAATGATAATTTAATGTTATTAGTAGAATTGAATAAAATAATAATTTAATCTTTCTTAAAATCAGGTTTTAAAAAAATCTTTAAATTTGGAGGTTTTTTTCATGTTTTATACATTTTCAAAGAATATTACAAAAAATTTATTAAAATAATATATAAAAGTTAAAATCTTTATTTTCTTTATTTTAAAGAATCTCTTAAACTGCTGTAAGAATGCATTAGATCTTAGCACTTGAATTTGATATTTATAATAAAGAAAAATACCATTTATCCCCTTGTATTATGTTAAATTTGCTAATTTAATCTATTATTATTATTATTATTATTATTATTATTATTATTTAATCTTGAAGCTTCTTAAACTCTGTGTTTACCTTATGGATTCTTCAAAATGAACTCAAACCTATCATTTTTCATGTACATTTTATATCAAGTAAACAAATTTTTAAACAATCACATATATTTTAATGTTTTGCTTTATTATACTGTAAAAATATCAATATATGAGATTACTGAAAATTACTTTGGATAAACTAGAGAGCTTACATCCATGTGGCAAATATATAACCAACTTGCACACAATTTGACAAATTTTACAAGAGCCAATAATTAACAGTCGCACAAACCTCCACTGGTATTGAGAGGAGTGAAACCAGTGAGCATTGAGGAGCAATTCCAAGGTCTTACGAATTGAAGTGCCCCCAAAGATTTCCATGTCATATTTGTGTATATTTTTTTAATGAATTACTAACGACATGTTAACAAATAAATGATGAAAAGTTTCATCATCTTCATCGAAAACCCTCTTAAAGACAATCTCGAGGTCATTCTTTAAAATCATCACCTTAGGATTTTTTTTTAAATCGTAAAATGTCATCTTCCAGCGAAAAATTAGCATTCACCTATCGATTTCAAAATACATGTGACCACAATGAAAGGAACGTCAAATGACTTTTTATTTTTCTTTATGATTTCTACATAATCACTTATTAAAAAGTAGCTCCAGATTAGAATGAGGACAAAAGGAAATTTAAGTTTGGACCCGAAGAAATGAAACTTCTTAATCGTTAATAAAAGTAAAATAGTATATATGCATATTACCATAAGATAATGATTGGCACATCCAGAATTTCCAATCAATGTATATTATACTCTCTTTTTCTGTAACGAACTTCTACTTTTTACATTTGTTTTGGATAATTATTGGGTGTCCAAATTAACTTGCGTGCACAACAACATTCTCTCAGGACCATGAAATTAAAAGTCAGACAAGTCTTTAATAGTTCTTAAACAAACCCGGGGACCATACCCCTAATGGTTATAGTTTTTTATTACACTACAACAAACTAAACGGGTTTTTAGCGTATGAACGTGCATATCGAAAGGAAAACGTTTTTTTAGTTTTAGGGTTTAAAATGTAAAAGATGATAGTACAGGGACTAAAATAGTCAATTAATTATAATAGTAGGACCAGAAAAATATTTATTCCTTTTCAACAATGCTTGCTTTTGTCCATTAGCTCAGGCGTTGTCATGTTGATGAATTCTAAGCTCCAAATTGTTTTCACCTCCTCTCTCTCTTCATTTCTCTCTCTACAAGCTTTTTCTCTCTCAAGAATCCTCTCTGCAAATTCTTCTGATCGGCAATTACAGACAATCGATAACGACTTCTGGAGTTCAATTTTCATCGCCACCCATTTATTCGAATCCGCAATGGTAAATCTGCAGTGTTTATATGTATAATTGAGCAATTGTGATCGATTTATTCATGTGTGTGTTTTACTATGTGTTTCTTCCGTGTGTTCTTGGTGACGGTGAATTGATTCTAAAGCTTGGCGAATGCAGCAGCAATTGGTGCCGCCATGGCTTGAAAAGCTCCTTGGTACGGCATTCTTCTCGGTGTGCCGGACGCACGGTGCTGCCGCCAGAAGTGAATGTAATATGTATTGTTTGGATTGCAATGGGGACGCATTTTGCTTCTATTGCAGATCTTCCCGCCATAAAGATCATCAAGTTATTCAGGTTTGTGTGTGTTGTTTTTTTCTTCTTCCTTCGCATCAATAACCGTCAATCTCATGCTCTGATCGGTTGTACTTGCATTGTTGTAATGTACCATCTCATTGATTCTATGACTACCTGAAAACTCGTAAGATTATATTTACATTATTGAAATTAAACAAAAGTATATTGAAATTAATTATGTTTACATGATTAATATATATATATATATATATATATATATATCACATTATTTTAGTTTTACAATTTTCCAAAAACTTTTTTGGAAACTTTTTGGAAATTCATCATTCTCGTGTATTTTCACATTGGTAATTTCATTTCAACAATATAGAAAGTGGATTTCGATATTTTTTTTTTACAATAACTTTTATTGGATTGACGAATGTAGATCAGGAGATCATCATATCACGATGTTGTGAGGGTTTCTGAGATCGAAAAAGTATTGAATATCGGTGGAGTTCAAACATACGTCATAAACAGTGCAAGAGTTTTATTTCTAAACGAAAGGCCGCAACCTAAATCAGGAAAAGCGGTTTCTCACATTTGTGAAATTTGTGGAAGGAGTTTGTTGGATGCGCTTCGATTTTGTTCACTAGGCTGTAAGGTTAGCATAATCTCCTTCATTAATTACTCTTAATTAATATTATTTAATATCTATTTTTACTTTAATTGTTGCCTTTGCTTCACAATGTTGACAATACAACTCACCCATATGAATTGGCATGTACCATATGCTCATGACCTCATCATCCACATCATTTCCATATTAAAGAAATTAAAAACCAACCCATCATCCACCAATAATATAATATATATATATATATATATATATATTCAACAGAAAATCAATATTGAGATAAATTAAAACTTATATCTTTCTGGATATATTTTTTCCGTCGTCATTTTAAAAATTTGTGTGACAAGTTAAACACGACTATATTTAATTTATGTGAGATCAATGTTTCTATCTGACAATGTAGACCGTTAGGAACATTTATTTTGATCTATATTAGGTTTTTAAATGACCTTTTAATTGGTTTTTGCTTGATCAAATTAATGGGTTCAATAGCTTGTTTGCTCAACCATTAATAAACAATGTTTGTTTTTGGCTTATTAGTTAAGCAATGACTAGAAATGGCTGAATTGGATAGGTCACAATATATCATGTTATCTATGTTAAACCATCTTATTCAAACCATGTATTAATAGAAAACATATACGCCCCAAATATATCTATCATTATTTATGACATTGGCCATTTATTAATTACATCATCGATCAAATATATCTGTCATTATATAGGATAGAACCATCATGACATTTCGGGCGTTACTTCAAGTTCTTAACGTATTTATGTGTCGTTTACTTGATGTGAATAAAAAATGAAGGTGTAACCCGTGAATCGAAAAGAAGGAATGAGAAAGAGGTGATATATATATATATATATATATATATATATGAAATTAAGCAACGGGTTTTTTAGCTTAAAAATCTTTATTGGATTTTTCCAGGTGTTATTGTATCGTTGTTTTTATGTCATTGTTTGAATCACAACCTACATTAATGATGACATGGATGGAAATCAACATTTCTAGAATTGTGAAAGATGACATGTTATTTATTATTTTGTAATAAAAGCTTGTAGGAATAAAAAGAAATGGAAACACAAGCTTTATGTTAGAGGGGATATCATCATCATCAACAAGAGTGATATCATCATCATCAACAAGAAGAGGAGAAGAAGAATTGCGTGAAGGCTCACAACAAGACATTTACCCGCCCACACCTCCTCCACCTCCTTCAACTTCCTCCACTAGGAGGAGAAAGGGGATTCCTCATAGGGCACCTTTTGGATCCTAATTATATATATATATATATATATATATATATATATATATATATATATACAAAGAAGTAAATTACTCAATTACCCTTTCAAAAAGCAAAGGAAACAAATGCCCCTTCAAGTCTCCTACTTTATACAACTCATCAACATTGACAATTTGTTTCACCAAATACATACCCATCTTTGGCATTGCGTCCCCAAGCCTTTATAGGCTATCATTTATATGTTTCTAGTTCAAGAAAGTAGTATATGAGGTATTCCGTTCGATGATGCGTACAACCATATAACGTGTTACATGTAAAGAGTAAACGTAATTTCTTGACCTCATATATTGCTGTATTTTTTATTTTCGTTTTTTAATTTCTTGAATTTGAATAGTTCTAAAATGAATCAAGTTATATATATATATATATATATATATATATAAAGATTATTTAAATATAGATTGATGTAGAAGTATCAACAAAAGAGTTGGTATAGCGATTGGGGGGGTTGGGGTTGAGGGGTCCCAAGTACAAAACAAAAGGTCTTGTTGGGTGAGGCCATAAGCCAATAATTCATAATTGTTATTTATAGTTGAGAGGTGTAGATGCAATTAAGCAAATCTCTTTTGTGGAGTCCATTTTATAATTTTCATTGGCCCCCCAACCCACATGGGCCATTTACCAAAAACAAAACCTTTTTCTTATTTAATTTCATATGCACCAAGCAAAAAGTTGGGTAAAAGTCTTGTTTCTTTGATGGAACCTAGTTTGGTTGGCTCAATGAATTTGGCTATCAATTTCTATATTTCTTTACATTTTTTGAACCTACTTTTGATTATTTCTATAATCCAAATGATTAGTTTCTCATTTAAAGATTTATGCCCCTTTTAAAACACTAGTAGAACAAGAAATATACTAAGTTAGTTTTTATCAACTTATATGATAAGCTAATGCTCGACTATGGAAAATGTGTACATATCGTTTAGTTGGTTCTCCTAAACTACACTTTGGCCTTCTATGGCTTCAGATTAATTCTCTAAACCTGGATTAGTCGTGTGGTAGTCAAGATTGATATCACACCATTTGGAAGACGCTCCTCAAGTTTGATCGGGTTTCCACTCGTCTTTGGTTTCATAATGTCCTAAAGATATTATTAGCTTAATAACTTTTAAATCAAATTTAAATCATAATGAAAGTCATTGGTAGCCTACAACTTAAGATTTATAAGAGCTCATAAATCTTACTTTTTATCCATGTAAGGTGGGTTGTCACAACCCCCATCCAGGTAAATGATCTCACAAGCTTACAAATTACTTTCCATCTATGTGAGACAAATTGTTATGAAATCCCTACTCAAGTTCTTGACGTCCTTGTTAGGCCCATCCAAGATCCTCCTTCTTCATTGATAATATGAGATTCTTCTAAGATGCTAGCTACAAGTCTTCACTTGAAATTAAGGTAGCTATATGAGCTTTAACATTTCTTTCCTACCTAGGTCTAGGAAATGCTTGATGTTGCCTCATGAATTAGGTTTCAACACAGTTGGTGAGAATGTTGGCATGGTAACTACGTTAAATTTATTGATATTTTAGTTAGGTTTTGTTTTGAGAAATAATGAAACTTATGACTACAAGATGCTTAAAAGGGACTTGTCCCTCTCGCTCGGACTACTCATTCAAAAGAAAGTCGTTTAACCACATATTGCACGCCAAATACTGGCTTTTATCAATTTTAAATTTTTTGATAGTTATCAATATAACATAACAATAAGAAGCTAAAAGATCGGCATTTGTTCAAAATAGAATTAGAGTAATGACTTACAAAATTTAACAATGGATTGAAGCAGATAATAAGAAATATAATTATAGAAAACACATACTTTTGCATTGCATGCAAAATTATCAAAATAGATGTATCTTATTTCAAAACTTAATTCATCATTTTAGTCATCACTTTCAAACCCCAATAACTACGTTATGAACCAAACTAAATAGAAAGGGAAATTGGGGATTGTTCGGTATTTTAAGTTTGTCGAATGTTTATGGCTGCTTCTCTAGTGGTGGAATCTCTTTGAAATTCTTGTGCTTTACCTTCTAATTAATAAGGGGACCATTATGGTTATATTATTTTGAAAATTTATAAATCACTTAACAAACCCTTACGTTGGGCCATACCTAGATGTAGACTCGACCATACGAGACCAACAATTTACGTACTTTTAACAATGCCAAATTTTAAAGACCAAATTCTTTAATGCATCTAGCACTTGCTATAGACTTCTATAAATTCCCCTTTCTTTGTGGCCTACATCAAAATGTGGGGCTATGCTAACTAGGAAGACTATCCTAGCTACTTCTAATTCCCAACAAAAAATGGAGCATCGTATATACAAGGGCACACTTGGGCAAGGTCATTGTAATATGTGTTTATATTTTTGGCAAACATCGTATCTTTTACGCTTATTAAAAGAGGTGATATGATAAGATATGCATACCTACGTATTTACACACACATACACATATACATATTTACATATTGATGGAAGTTCCTTTAGGAACCTATAATTGAATATAGGAACCCGGGAACCATCCATGACGCGGTATGTGTCCATATTCAGAATGAATATTAATCATGAATAACCCATGAATGATGAATACGGAAGTGTTATTCATCATGAACTACACATTATGATGAATATGATTGTGTTATAGACATGCTATTCATCATCAATCACACATTCATAATGAATATGGATGTATTATAGACTTGTTCTTCGTCATGAATTGCATATTCATGATGAATACTACGTCTTCCACGTGTTATGTTGTGGGCGATCCCAAATTCCTATTTATGCATATGACAGTATATACACTACCATTAATTTTAATAGTGTAAATCGACCGATACTTGTTAGAAACTTGGAAAGTTGGATTAAAGATTGTTAAATCTTTAAGGAAAAAACAATAAGAAAGAACATAGTAATGTAAAATAGCTAATACAAGAAATAATTTTTGATTCAGAGAGAAGGTAAAAAGTAGTAAGTTATATGTGTATATGAATAGTTTACATGGTTAAATACATACAAACATACATGATACAACGATAGATGTAGGATTTTAAGAATATAGTGCATGCAATTATTTTAAATAAAATATAATAAATTGTATTGTAAAGAATGCTATTATTTCACATAAACGAGTCGATTCACAATTGGAGAAGGATATTCTATTGTGCTTTTGAAAATCATGGTCCAAACCCTCTTGACAACACTAACAAAAGTAGAAGATTTGCACTACAATCCTGAAAACTTCAATCGATGAACAATTTCGTCAGAAATCTGTCGTCGAAGTAATCTCTGTCGAAAACCTGTCCAAGTCTAGAAGTATGTTGGTTAAAACTTGGTCGGAGAAGATGTCACCGACAATTTTTTTTATTACAAATATCAGGGACAGATTTTTGACAAACCTAATTCCACAAAATTAAAGATTTCCTTTAATTCACTTTTACCAATGGATTAATAAGGGCTCTCATTACCGATGGATCGTTGAGTACTGACGTTACTGATGGATTTCAATTGTCATCAATTACGGACAGATTTTTGACTCCTCTCCAACAACCTCTATCACCAAATATTACCAACGAGCATGTATTCATGACAAACTATCCAGTAGTAATATTTGGTTTTAAAAAATGTTTTGCAGTTTAATGGATCTTCCACCTCTTTGATAGGTTGGTTAAGAGAAAAAACTACTTCACTACACCAAAAGTGGGTTTATAAGATGATAATGGATTTGCAAGTGTCCCAATATACTACTTTATAAGACTTCAGTTTATATGACCTAAGTTTACATGACCAAATGATAAAACTTCCTACCTACTAGTGATATAATAAGTTTATTGGACGCTTTTGGGCATTTAAACAAGTTTTTAGGACAATTTTTTAAAAAAGCATCACATGAATTATTTTATCGGACAAATTTTCAAATAATGCCCTATAAAAAGAGTGTCCTATATAAAATGTGTTTATAGGATAGTTCTTAGAAGTGCCCTATAAGAGGGCTAATACAATGCTTTATTTTAAAAATGTCCTAAAAAACTTATTAAGACGTCAAAAAGCGTCTATAAACATATTATAATGTACACTTTTAGGTAAGACACTACCATTTGATCCTATAAACTTTAGACTTAGGGGTTGTTTATTTACCATTTATTAATGTCATTGTGATAACCGGGTCCTGGTTATTACCCAAGCTATTGTTTATGTGAATTAATTGTTTATGTGGATACATGCTTACATAGGTTAAAATGCGTAAGTATGTGTATTTTATGCATAAGGATATATGCATAGTATGTGGATATATATATATATATATGTGTGTGTGTGTGTGTGTGTGTGTGTGTGAGTGTGTGCATGATATTATTATGTATGCATGTGTGTATGTACTTATACATGCATGGCTGAGTTTAATTGCATGCATAATGTGGGTGAAGGCCTGGTTGGCTGACTTTCTATATTTAAAAATTTTAAATAGGGACTTTGGGATTTGGGGGAAATTTTCTTCTTCCTAGGGATTTTTGGAGAGCAATTAGAAGAAGGCTGTCCGATTTACAAGTTTGAAGCCAAAAAGGGATTTTCAGTCTTTCTAAACTTATAAGATGAGTATTTCTTTTAAAAGTCTCTTTTAAACTTTGGTTGATTATTTTAGAAAGAACTACCTACTATCTATAAAATCTGTTTGTGCAATTTAGAGTTTTATCCAGATAAGAGGTGACCGGATTGTTTCTAAACTGGTCATAGTATTGTCCGAATTACTCTTAAACCGGATAAGAGGTGTCCGTTTATTTATAAATTGCTTAAGTGTTGTGCGATTTAGGGTGTTAGTGAGAATTTAAACTATATAAATCGGACGAAGGTGTTTGAACGGAGAAGTATGAGTACGACCAAGTATTATGCGATTTAGCCTTAAATAGCTTAAGGGTCGTGCGGATTAGTCATAAACCGATCACGTATTGAGCGGTTTAGTTTTAAA